GCGGTGACCATAACGGTGGTCGAGTGGATCATGTTGTGCGGGGTGGAGAAGCCTCACTCCGTGCAAGGGGGAAGACCGCACCACGTTCTGTCAAATGGTCAAGCACCCTCGATGCAGTTACACAGTGCTTACTATTGTCTCAGGAAGTGAAAGCACCAGAAAATAAATTAAGTCATACGCAGCTGTCATCCGTACGCAAGGAAGTAAGCACAAGATGCCGAACACCCTTAGCAGGATGCAGCGCACCCTTCATGCGACTCGCCGAATATCTCACGGCGCTTCGCGCTTGGTGATGTGAGAGCCTGGTCCGGTGAGAACCCGGCGCGCTCCGTCCCGGCTTTGTAGGGATGCGAGGTCAATGGTCTAACGACTACGGCATGCACGACTATGAGTACACCCCACCCCCTGCAATGTACCGCTGAATGTCTTCGATTGCCGTCTTCTCCCTGTGTCTGCGGGATAGGCTGTTCTAGGTGGTGGCGAGTAGTTCTGTGAACTCGATGCCAGATACATGTTCATCAAGGTCGACCTCGACGCGGGCATTCATGACAACCATTCAGTACGATATTGTGCTGGTCCAACTGCGTTCTCCCGCACACATACGTGTTCACCCTTTCCCGCGAGCAATATCCTGTTCAGTCCCACATTACGCCTCGCCCGAGACACCCCTGCCGTCTTCGCTCCTCGCCAAACACGTACTGACGCGGGGCACCATTGCGCGAGAACCCACATAGGGGTTCCGAACAATATTCCCAAGCGAGTCGAAAACTCAAGATAAACCCAATAAACAACGATCCCAGGATGAACGACACCAGAACAACCATGAAGGCCAGCATCAACTCCATTCCAGCCTACGGTAACCTGACTCCCAGGCAGCGATCTCGGCCGACCCGGTCGAAATACCGGAGATTAACTCAACAGGTTGTTGCATTGCATTCTTGGTCGACTTGAGTGGATGCCTCTGGTACAGTCGATGGCGTACAGCTGCCTACCGTGGGTGACACAAGACATCACACCCCCTCGACCAAAATACTAATTACTCCACGACGAAGGATATGCATGAATGGAACGGTCCGTTTGTTTTCAGAAAGCTCTCGACGAGACGGCATTAAAACCACCGCCGTTTTGGGCGCCTCCACCCTTTCTGCCGTGGAGAAATCGAGCATTGAACCTGGCCCAGCCCGGCATGCGTCGCCTACGCGGTAGACAGCACGTTTTCGAAGCCCCAGGAGTGGTACCCGAGAGGCAGCTCGCCAAGCTGGCATCAGTGCAACGTACCGCTGGCACATACGTGCGGAGGGGCTCTGCGGCCGAAAGCAAATTTCAATTACTCTATCCCCCGCCCGCCCCCGCCGGCGAACGGTTTCCGGGGGGAACTCCCAGGACCGGCTCCTGCTTTGGTGGTAGTTGAGCTTTTTTGGGACAGGGCGTCCTGTCGGCTCTGGATGTAGGCAACGTGGCTCACGAGCTCCTCCTCCGTAAAGGTCGGGTCCGTAGCACTGCCCAAGCCATGACGCAAGAAAGTACGTTTTTAGGCGTACTCGGCACTAGAAGATTGGTATCTGCGGGTGTTTGTGTATCATGTTGGCATGTATATGTTTGTGGAAGGGCTATCCCCCTTCTGGCTTGCATGGGCAAGCACGGCCTGTGCTATCCAGGTCCTGAGTCAACCTTTTCTCCGCAACCCTCTGACGAAAAGCACCCGCTACACAAAAGAAATCGCCGAACATGGCAATAACAAAAATACACGTTTGGCGCTACCCACCGGTTTCTGCAGTTAGCCTGTCATTGCGATGTACCTTGTCATTGTATTGAGGGAGGAGTCGTTGGAAACTACCGGCGGTGAAGCTCAACGTAGCATCGACCGGAACTCATCCCAAATAATTTGGACCAACACGAAAATATATTAAGCTTTCAGCCTGTATGGGCAAGCCTGTCCTTCTATGTGTTCAGAGTCTACGTGCCCCTCTCCTCAATCGGCGGTGTTTATCCGTTTCTGCAAATGTACGAGAGGCATCGAGGGAGTAGACAAACGAGTCGAGTGCGTTCCAGCGATGACGCTGAGGTATAGCGGCACTTTCGTTACGGTAGGTGAGTAGGGGCTAGACGGGAGAAAATTCCAGACTGGACACGGAACTTGCTGTGGTCGGAGCCCACGAGACAAGACTCCGTGTTGTAGGCCCCGTCCACGGCATGCGCGCGGGCAAAGAAAAATAAAGAAAAAAAACAAGACAAGCATTGCGGATAGGCACAAAAAACGGTGGCCCGTCAGGTTTGCCGGACAGTGGTCTCTAGAGGTGACGCAACCGCTACTTGCAGTCGCGGAGACGTTCCTGGACTTGGAGCATTCATTGCGTTTGGAACCAATTATTGTGGTGGTCATGTGCAAACAAATCTCAAACCTGAGCAAGTGCTGGCTGGTCAATGTAAACAACAGCCACCAGCCGTACAACACGGTAAATTTCTCTATCCATGCGACCGAAAAAAATATCGCCTATGTACAACTACCGTACGTTCCGGACCAACACGGTCTCCATAAGATCCCCAAATTCCCGCCCTAGAGAGGAACCCCCGAACTTGCGACGCTCCGGAAAGGAAAGCATGATACCATCGGACTCGAGTTGAAGGACCCGAGCGATAGCTCTAGAGAAGAGAATCAAAGGGGGAATAGAACAGTGGGAGCTGAAATTCGGTAGGAATAGAATCATCGACGAGAATATGTGTGCTTCCGGTCTACCACACAAGGTGAGGGTTAAGGGGTAGGAGAACGAGATGGCTTTTCGTTTTCTGAAGCTGTTGTGCTGCCAAGCCTAAGGCCGATGCCAAAGCCAACGTGCTGCGGGAGCCTCTCTCTTCATGTAAATTACTGCTAAGAAAACAACTATCACACTGACGAAGGGTCATGTGGTGACTCCATTCAATTTGGGACTCACTTTCCGATGGTCGTTGTGATTCGTTCCACCGCTGGCAGTGGAATGTCCACGCCGATCGACTGGAAAAAGCCATGCATCTGGAAGATAGACAGATTTCGCAGCGTTAACGGGAAGAGATGAACAAGTCCATGCGGCATCAAGCTGGGTAAGGCTGGCATGGCCTAGGCACACGGAAAGTAGGAATGGAGGCCCCGTGGATGAAAGTTGGGCTTGCAGGACGAGGGAGGCTGTCGCTTCAACAGGGAGTGTGCGAATGGTGCTGGACCGTACATCGACATTGGGGGGGTTGGTGCCGCTCGATTATATCAGCCAAACCTAAGTCTACTCCACGGCGGGTCGCCATTCTTCAAGGGCAACATATCCGTCAACATGCCCTTTGTCACGCTGGTAAACAATCAACCAAACCCTGTCCCTACAACGTACCACACACTACCCCGCCTTGGCCGCGACACGCACCCTGTACAACTACCCCGTCCGGATGGTTGCGAGCAAGTAAAGTCTTGCCTGTTTCGAAGCCATCGGAGTGGATGAGCTTCTATTGACCATCCGGAAGAAGTGTTTGGTGTGTCCTCCGCGAGTCGTCGGCGGCACGTGACTTCCCCTCACGAAGCCCGCCGACTGGATAAACTGTCTTCCGTACAGGAAAGAGGCAAACCAGGGAAGAAATGGGAGAGAGAGAGAGAGAGAGAGAGAGAGAGAGAGAGAGAGAGAGAGA